TTCTTCTTCTTCTTGGGATCCTCTGCAACCTTCCTCTCCGGGCTATATAGCCTTTGCTTCTTCTTCTTCTTCTTGGGATCCTCTGCCGCCTTTCTCTCCGGGCTACTTTGCCTTTGCTTCTTCTTCTTCTTAGGATCCTCTGCAGCCTTTCTCTCCGGGCTAGTTTACCTTTACTTCTTCTTCGTCTTGGGATCCTCTGCAGCCATTCTCTCTGGGCTACTTTGCCTTTGCTTCTTCTTCTTCTTGGGATCTTCTGCAGCCTTTCTCTCCGGGCTACTTTGCCTTTACTTCTTCTTCGTCTTGGGATCCTCTGCAGCCTTTCTCTCCTCGCTACGTTGCCTTTGCTTCTTCTTCTTCTTGGGATCCTCTACAGCCTTTCTCTCCGGGCTACTTTGCCTTTGCTTCTTCTTCTTCTTCTTGGGATCCTCTGCAGCCTTTCTCTCCAGACTACTTTGCCTTTACTTCTTCTTCTTCTTGGGATCCTCTGCAGCCTTTCTCTCCGGGCTACTTTGCCTTTGCTTCTTCTTCTTCTCGGGATCCAATGCAGCCTTTCTCTCCGGGCTACCAATTTTTTGCCTTTGCTTCTTCTTCTTCTTAGGATCTTCTGCAGCCTTTCTCGCCGGGCTACTTTGCCTTTGCTTCTTCTTCTCTTGCGATCTTCTGCAGCCTTTTCTTCTACGGGCTCTATTTTGCCTTGCTCGTCTTCTTGGGATCCTCTGCAATCTTTCTCTCCCGGCTACTTTGCCTTTGCTTCTTCTTCTTCTTGGGATCCTCTGCAGCCTTTCTCTCCGGGCTACTTTTCCTTTGCTTCTTCTTCTTCTTCTTGGGATCCTCTGCAGCCTTTCTCTCCGGGCTACTTTGCCTTTGCTTCTTCTTCTTCTTGGGATCCTCTGCAGCCTTTCTCTCCGGGCTACTTTGCCTTTGCTTTTTCTTCTTCTTGGGATCCTCTGCAGCCGTTCTTTCCGGGCTACTTTGTCTTTGCTTCTTCTTCTTGGGATCCTCTGCAACCTTTCTAGTTTGCCTTTGCTTCTTCTTCTTCTTGGGATCCTCTGCAGCCTTTCTCTCCGGGCTACTTTGCCTTTGCTTCTTCTTCTTCTTGGGATCCTCTGCAGCCTTTCTCTCCGGGCTACTTTACCTTTGCTTCTTGTTCTTCTTGTGATCCTCTGCAGCCTTTCTCTCTTCGGACTCTTTTGCCTTTGCTTCGTCGTCTTCTTCTTCTTGGAATCCTCTGCAACCTTTCTCTCCGAGCTGCTTTGCCTTTGCTTCTTCTTCTTCTTGGGATCCTCTGCAGTCTTTCTCTCCGGACTACTTTGCCTTTGCCTCTTCTTCTTCTGCTTGGGATCCTCTGCAGCCTTTCTCTCCAGGCTAGATTGCCTTTGCTTCTTCTTCTTGGGATCCTCTATAGCCTTTTTCTCCGGGCTGTTTTGCCTTTGCTTCTTCTTCTTCTTCTTCTTAGGATCCTCTGTAGGGCTACTTTGCCTTTGCTTCTTCTTCTTGGGATCCTCTGCAGCCTTTCTCTCGGGCGGCTTTGCCTTTGCTTCTTCTTCTTCTTCTTGGGATTCTTTGCAGCCTTTCTCTCCGCACTACTTTGCCTTTGCTTCTTCTTCTTCTTGGGATCCTCTGCAGCCTTTTTTTTTTGGGTTATTTTGACTTTATTTCTTCTTCTTCTTCTTCTTACTGGGATCCTCTACAGCCTTTCTCTCCGGGCTACTCTGCCTTTGCTTCTTCTTCTTCTTGGGATCCAATGCAGCCTTTCTCGCCGGGCTACCAATACTTTGCCTTTGATTCTTCTTCTTCTTGGGATCCTCTGCAGCCTTTCTCTCCTTTCTCTCCGGGCTACTTTGCCTTTGCTTCTTCTTCTTCTTGGAATCCTCTGCAGCCTTTCTCTCCGGGCTAGTTTGCCTTTGCTTCTTGTTCTTCTTGTGATCCTCTACAACCTTTCTCTCCGGGCTACCAATATTTTGCCTTTGCTTCTTCTTCTTCTTGTGATCCTCTGTAGTCTTTCTCTCCGGTCTACTTTGCCTTTGCTTCTTCTTCTTGGGATCCTCTGCAGCCTTTCTCTCCTCGCTACTTTGCCTTTGCTTCTTCTTCTTGGCATCTTCTGCAGCCTTTCTCTCCGGGCCACTTTGCCTTTGCTTGTTCTTCTTGGGATCTTCTGCAGCCTTTCTCTCCGGGCTACTTTGCCTTTTCTTCTTCTTCTTGGGATCCTCTGCAGCCTTTCTCTCCGGGCTACTTTGCCTTTGCTTCTTCTTCTTGGGATCCTCTGCAACCTTTCTCTCCGGACTTCTTTACCTTTGCTTCTTCTTCTTCTTCTTGGGATCCTCTGCAGCCTTTCTCTCCGCACTTTTTTGCCTTTGCTTCTTCTTCTTGGGGTCCTTTATAGCCTTTCTCTCCGGGCTACTTTACCTTTGCTTGTTCTTCTTTTTGGGATCCTCTGCAGCCTTTCTCTCCGGGCTACGTTGCCTTTGCTTCTTCTTCTTCTTCTTGGGATCCTCTGCAGCTTTTCTCTCCGGGCTACTTTACCTTTGCTTCTTCTTCTTGGGATCCTCTGCAGCCTTTCTCTCCGGACTACTTTGCTTTTGCTTCTTCTTCTTGGAATCCTCTGCAGGGCTACTTTGCCTTTGCTTTTTCTTCTTGGGATCCTCTGCAGCCTTTCTCTCCGGACTTTTTTGGCTTTGCTTCTTCTTCTTCTTCTTGGGATCCTCTGTAGCCTTTCTCTCCGCACTACTTTGCCTTTGCTTCTTCTTCTTCTTGGGATCCTCTGCACTCTGCAGCCTTTCTCTCCGGGCCACTTTGCCTTTGCTTCTTCTTCTTCTTGGGATCCTCTGCAACCTTTCTCTCCGGGCTATATAGCCTTTGCTTCTTCTTCTTCTTGGGATCCTCTACAGCCTTTCTCTCCGGGCTACTTTGCCTTTGCTTCTTCTTCTTCTTGGGATCCTCTGCAGTCTTTCTCTCCGGGCTACTTTGCCTTCACTTCTTCTTCGTCTTGGGATCCTCTGCAGCCTTTCTCTCCTCGCTACGTTGCCTTTGCTTCTTCTTCTTGGGATCCTCTGCAGCCGTTCTTTCCGGGCTACTTTGTCTTTGCTTCTTCTTTTTGTGATCCTCTGCAGCCTTTCTCTCTGGGCTACTTTGCCTTTGCTTCTTCTTCTTCTTGGGATCTTCTGCAGCCTTTCTCTCCGGGCTACTTTGCCTTTGTTTCTTCTTCTTCTTGGGATCCTCTGCAGCCTTTCTCTCCGGGCTACTTTGCCTTTGCTTCTTCTTCTTCTTGCGATCTTCTGCAGCCTTTCTCTTCGGGCTATTTTGCCTTTGCTTCTTTTTCTTGGGATCCTCTGCAGCCTTTCTCTCCTCGCTACTTTGCCTTTGCTTCTTCTTCTTGGGATCTTCTGCAGCCTTTCTCTCCGGGCTACTTTGCCTTTGCTTCTTCTTCTTCTTGGGATCCTCTGCAACCTTTCTTTTTTGCCTTTGCTTCTTCTTCTTCTTGGGATCCTCTGCAGCCTTTCTCTCCGGGCTAGTTTGCCTTTGCTTCTTCTTCTTCTTGGAATCCTCTGCAGCCGTTCTTTCCGGGCTACTTTGTCTTTGCTTCTTCTTCTTCTTCTTGGAATCCTCTGCAACCTTTCTAGTTTGCCTTTGCTTCTTCTTCTTCTTGGGATCCTCTGCAGCCTTTCGCTCCGGGCTACTTTGCCTTTGCTTCTTCTTCTTCTTCTTGGGATCCTCTGCAGCCTTCTCTCCGGGCTATTTTGCCTTTGCTTCTTCTTCTTGGGATCCTCTGCAGCCTTTCTCTCCGGGCTACTTTGCCTTTGCTTCTTCTTCTTGGGGTCCTCTGCAGCCTTTCTCTCCGGACTCTTTTGCCTCTGCTTCGTCTTCTTCTTCTTCTTGGAATCCTCTGCAACCTTTCTCTCCGAGCTGCTTTGCCTTTGCTTCTTCTTCTTCTTGGGATCCTCTGCAGCCTTTCTCTCCGGACTACTTTGCCTTTGCCTCTTCTTCTTCTTGGGATCCTCTGCAGCCTTTCTCTCCGGGCTAGGTTGCCTTTGCTTCTTCTTCTTGGGATCCTCTATAGCCTTACTCTCCGGGCTGTTTTGCCTTTGCTTCTTCTTCCCAAGAATCCTCTGTAGGGCTACTTTGCCTTTGCTTTTTCTTCTTGGGATCCTCTGCAGCCTTTCTCTCGGGCTGCTTTGCCTTTGCTTCTTCTTCTTCTTCTTGGGATCCTCTGCAGCCTTTCTCGCCGGACTAGTTTGCCTTTGCTTCCTCTTCTTCTTTTTAGGATCCTCTGCAGCCTTTCTCTCCGGGCTACTTTGCCTTGGCTTCTTCTTCTTGGGATCCTCTGCAGCCTTTCTCTCCGGGCTACTTTATCTTTGCTTCTTCTTCTTCTTGGGATCCTCTGCAATCTTTCTCTCCGGGCTAATTTGCCTTTGCTTCTTCTTCTTCTTCTTCTTGGGATCCTCTGCAATCTTTCTCTCCGGGCTCTTTTACCTTTGCTTCTTCTTCTTGGGATCTTCTGCAGCCTTTCTCTCCGGGCTACTTTGCCTTTGCTTCTTCTTCTTCTTGGGATCCTCTGCAGCCTTTCTCTCCGGGCAATCTTGCCTTTGCTTCTTCTTCTTGGGAACCTCTGCAGCTTTTCTCTCCGGACTCCTTTGCCTTTGCTTCTTATTCTTCTTGGGATCCTCTGCAGCCTTTCTCTCCGGGCTACCAATACTTTGCCTTTGCTTCTTCTTCTTGGGATCCTCTATAGTCTTTCTCTCCGGGCTACTTTGCCTTTACTTCTTCTTCTTCTTCTTGGGATCCTCTGCAGCTTTTCTCTCCGGACTACTTTGCCTTTGCTTCTTATTTTTCTTGGGATCCTCTGCAGCCTTTCTCTCCGGGCTACTTTGCCTTTGTTTCTTCTTCTTCTTGGGATCCTCTGCAGCCTTTCTCTCCGGGCTACTTTGCCTTTGCTTCTTCTTCTTGGGATCCTCTGCAACCTTTCTCTCCGGACTTTTTTGCCTTTGCTTCTTCTTCTTGGGGTCCTTTATAGCCCTTCTCTCCGGGCTTTTTTACCTTTGCTTCTTCTTCTTTTTGGGATCCTCTGCAGCCTTTCTCTCCGGGCTACGTTGCCTTTGCTTCTTCTTCTTCTTCTGGGGATCCTCTGCAGCCTTTCTCTCCGGGCTACTTTGCCTTTGCTTCTTCTTCTTGGGATCCTTTGCAGCCTTTCTCTCCGAGCTTTTTTACCTTTGCTTCTTCTTCTTCTTGGGATCCTCTGCAGCCTTTTTCTCCGTGTTACTTTGCCTTTGCTTCTTCTTTTTCTTGGGACCTCTGCAGCCTTTCTCTCCGGGCTACTTTACCTTTGCTTCTTCTTCTTCTTGGGATCCTCTACAGCCTTTCTCTTCGGGCTACTTTGCCTTTGCTTCTTCTTCTTCTTGGGATCCTCTGCAGCTTTTCTCTCCGGGCTACTTTTCCTTTGCTTCTTGATCTTCTTCTTGGGATCCTCTGCAGCCTTTCTCTCCGGACTACTTTGCCTTTGCTTCTTGATCTTCTTGGGATCCTCTATAGCCTTTCTCTCCGGACTTTTTCGCCTTTGCTTCCTTCTTCTTCTTGGGATCCTCTGCAGTCTTTCTCTCCTGGCTACTTTGCCTTTGCTTCTTCTTCTTCTTGGGATCCTGTGCAGCCTTTCTCTCCGGGCTACTTTGCCTTTGCTTCTTCTTCTTGGGATCCTCTGCAACCTTTCTCTCCGGACTTTTTCGCCTTAGCTTCCTTCTTCTTCTTCTTGGGATCCTCTGCAGTCTTTCTCTCCGGACTATTTTGCCTTGGCTTCTTCTTCTTCTTGGGATCTTCTGCAACCTTTCTCTCCGGGCTACTTTGCCTTTTCTTCTTCTTCTTCTTGGGATCCTCTGCAGCCTTTCTCTCCGGGCTACTTTGCCTTTGCTTCTTCTTCTTCTTGGGATCCTCTGCAGCCTTTCTCTCCGGGATACTTTGCCTTTACTTCTTCTTCTTGGGATCCTCTGCAGCCTTTCTCTCCGGGCTACTTTGTCTTTGCTTCTTCTTCTTCGTCTTGGGATCCTCTGCAGCCTTTCTCTCCGGGCTACTTTGCCTTTGCTTCTTCTTCTTGGGATCCTATGCAGCCTTTCTCTGCGGGCTACTTTGCCTTTACTTCTTCTTCTTGTGATCCTCTGCAGCCTTTCTCTCCTTTCTTTCCGGGCTACTTTGCCTTTGCTTCTTCTTCTTGGGATCCTCTGCAGCTTTTCTCTCCGGACTCCTTTGCCTTTGCTTCTTGTTCTTCTTGGGATCCTTGACAGCCTTACCAATACTTTGCCTTTGCTTCTTCTTCTTGGGATCCTCTGCAGTCTTTCTCTCCGGGCTACTTTGCCTTTACTTCTTCTTCTTGGGATCCTCTGCAGCGTTTCTCTCCGGGCTGTTTTGCCTTTACTTCTTCTTCTTCTTGGGATCCTCTGCAGCCCTTCTCTCCGTGTTACTTTGCCTTTGCTTCTTCTTCTTCTTGTGATCCTCTG